CATATGAGCACCAGAAGAATAGAGGTGTTCCAAGAGAGTAACAAACATAAAAAGGAGGGAAACAACACACTATCCCTATACGATTTCACTGTCAATTTTCTGAATTCTTCAAGAATCAAAGGGTTCGACAGACCAAAATTCGCGCAAATTCTCTGCAGGGATTCTGAAAAAGATTGAACAGATACAGCCTTGATATTTTCACAGTGTTTCTGTATATACAACCTGCAACGTACTAAAGATTTACTTTCCTAAGTCTCATACTTTTCTTGTCACTGCCCTTTTAGTGTCATACAATATACGATATTCGGACCAAAAAATGGAACTCAAATCAAGAGTGATACTGTCAATCTTTTTTACACTGACAGAAAACTTATTGCAATATCACAATAATCTGTTAGTACGTTGCAAACATATCTAGAAACAGTCATGCAAAGTGGGATTGAGCTATGACATGTACTTTCACTTTCAGGAATATCTCTGCACAGGTGACCCACCCCCCTAAGAAAAATCATAGTTTTGAGAAAACTGAGAAAAAAATAATTTAAAAACGAATTCATACTGGTCTATTTCAACAAAACGTTCACAAACATGGCATAAGTGAGCCCTGTATAGATGTTTTAACATTTGAAATTATTTCCTATCGAAAAGCAGATGTTGCTCAACTAAAATAGTCCAAAATCGACTTTTTCATGTTCTGGCTGTCAGCTACAGCCGTGGTGTACCTTAACATGCACGACTTGGCTACAGGACCTCAGACAATTTTTCGTCCTGTCCTATATAAGGACATTTTAGCAAGCGTTTTATGGCACTTGCAACACAATAAGGTCATATAAGTTAGTGCCGAAGATTAGAGGTGTTACAAGAGAGTAACAAACACAAAAACGAAGGAGCAGAGATAAGGACGATAGGTGTTTGATAGGAAAGAAGAAGCAAACCACACCAGAGCACCCGCTAACCACACAGATGATTGATCTCATCAACCCTAAGATATCGCGTGTAGCAGACAGTAGTAATTAAGTAATAAGTATAAGGAGCCACAGGAAGCAGCAGTTACGATGGTTGCATTAGTAGAAAGATTCAAAAGTAAAGGAGAGAGGATCCCAGTTAGTAGAGTCAAAAGTAAAGGAGAGAGGATCCCAGTTAGTAGAGTCAAAAGTAAAGGAGAGAGGATCCCAGTTAGTAGAGTCAAAAGTAAA